AATTATGGTGTACTTCAGTGTAGGTATAAGGGAACAATATGTTAAGTTTGGGGTAAGAAGGGGGTAACAAGCAGATGTACAAGCAAATTATTTAATTAGTTCAAATTAGTTAATTATTTAATTAGTTAAAAAATAACAGGTACCTATTCTGTTAATATATTCCAGGGAAAGATTGTACGTTTGTTTTTTATAAAATGTATCACATTTCTGGCAAAACATGTTCAGGATAATTTTGACATCTGTGGGTTGAAAATTAAACATAATATATATATATATATATATATATATTGGCTTTTCTTACTAGATTACTAGAAAAGTCAAAATAATTTGTTTCTGCTACGATTTTAATTTAGACCGTACCATTTGGTAATTAGTACACTGTTAGACCTTACCAGGTTTTTTACAGTAAAATACTGGCAACAGGCCAAATTCTGACACTATCATACCATTTTCCATTAAAACAGTAATATACCGTCGAAAACAAAACTAGCCTACAGGAATATACTGTGAATTAACAGCTCTCAAAGTCGACACTCAGAGACTGTGTTAATCACACCCTATACCCTCATTCACTATTCCCTACATTAGATCACTAATATAGTCCACTTGAATGAAAAGAAGTTAGTGAATTGAGACACTGATGAACACCTGATAAGCAGAATCACTGAAGGACAGAGAAACAAGAACTGAAAAAGAGAAACACAAGATCTACAACTGACTTCCAGCAACACAGAGTGTGAAAACAGTTTACAAACCAGTTTACAAACCAGTTTAACATTATTTATTTCATACATGTACAAAAGTTCTTGTTGAGAATTAACAGAGATTTAATTAATAATAAAGTTTGTTGTCACCATAATGGAGATCAGTATTTGCTTTAGTAGGTCTCTTGTCCCTGGACTTGTTACATTTATCCCTCTCTGACTGCTGTAACATTAAGTTTTAAAACACATTTGTTGTAGCAAGAAAAAGTCAAGAGGAAGTTGATCTGGTGTTATTGGCTATTGTGATGATTTCACAAACATTCTGATCTTCAGATTTTTCCTGTATATACTCTTTGAATATATGGGTATATAATATGAAACTTAAATGAAGTTATGAATATAAAATAAATCTGTGAATCTACAACATGAAATCATTATGTTGGTTAATTATGTTTTCTGAATGACATGGTAAACATATAAAATAATATCCTGTTTTAGTCAGACACACACAGACATCAACAATTATAATATTCATCTCAACAATGGTAATCAAAAGTTTCATGCAGCAGTGCATGCTGGGTTCTGGGATTGTATAAAACTCCCAGCATGCACTGCAGCATGAATAAAAAAAATGAATTCCACCATTGTTGAGATTAATGTGCCAAATTTTGATATCTTTGTGTTTCTACAAGACTGTGTAGCGCTGTTTTTTTTTTTTTTTTGGTTTATGTATAATGTGTAAAAAAAATAGTGGATATTTGTTGATGTGGTTTCACGGTGGTGGTAATTTTGGTTGAGGATTAAACTCTGAATGAGTGTGAATGAATTCTTTAGGAAATGAAAAGACAAAATGATGGTTTTCATATTTTGACAAATCAAATCATTATTAAACTGTGTGTCTGCACAAGTGTGACTTGCAAAAACACAGCTCAAGCGTCAAAAGAAAAACTCATGTTACAGCATCAGCATACCAACTAAAGCAAACACTGATCTCTGTAATGGTAACTTCAAACCAAACATTTTCAATTAAACATCTCAACAACATCTTCTATAGATGTATGACAGAAATAAAGCCATACTGGTTAATAATAAGTGTAATAATGTGTAATGGCTGAAGTTTAGGGTTAGGGTTAGGTTTGTAAACTGTTTTCACACTCTGTGTTGCTGGAAGTCAGTTGTAGTTCTTGTGTTTTTCTATTTTCTGTTCTTGTTGTTCCTGTTTCCTTCGGTGATTCTGCTTGTTAACAGTTCATCACTAATGCTCAACAATCACTTACATATTCCCTTAATTATCTCACTGCAACACTGTCAATGTTACTTTTTACTCTTTGTAGTGTGGATTTTCCTGTGGGGTAGAAAGGGTAAACAGTGTAAGATAAAAAGATACACCCACAAATTGAATTTTAACAGTAATAAACTGTAAGTTATAAAACAGGTTTATACTGGCAACACTGTTGCCAGTAGTTTACTGTAAAATCTTGTTTTTTGGGTCACCGTTGTGCTGAAGAGTAGAGCCTGTGCTTCAAAAGAGCTACAAACATTGATGATACGCTGCATGTTGCTTTATTTAAAAGGCACTGACTGTGTAGCTGCTGATCCGGTGGAAATCTCTCTATTTACAAAAGTTATTTTTTGTGGTTTCTGATTAAATAAGTTCACAATAGTACTTTGCTCACATTATTAATGCATTATAAATTTAGTTGATTCTTTTAAGTCGGTTTCTAGTTAGTTCTAGTTAGAGAAGTTGAGTTTTAATCAATTTTTACGGTAAATAACTGGCAACAGTGTTGCCAGTTATTTACTGTCAAAATGCACTAAAACTAATAAGTTGTATTTTTTAATTAACTCGAGTGTTAGTGCATTTCTACAGCAAATAACTGGCAACAGTGTTGCCAGTATTTTACTGTAAAAAAAACCTGGTAAGGTCTAACAGTGTACTTACCTAATCCCATTGGATTGCAATGACACTTAAATGTCAGGGCAAATATACTGTGTAATTAAAACTTTTTTTTGTTTGTTTTTTGTTGTTGTTTTGTTTTCTTGATAACAGTACCTTTCTCTGTAATTACATTGCAAAAAGTGTTGTTTCGTTTTGCTAAGTAGTAAGTAGCGTTTGTTACCCCCTTGTTCTGTTTAGTTACATGATAAGTGTAACTCCTGCGGGCTGTAAATTAAAGTGGTGCTTGTTACCTCTTTATTACCCCAAACTTAAAATATTGTTCCCTTATACTTACACGGAAGTACACTATAATTACAGAAATGTACACCGTAATTTCGGTGTACTTACACAGTTGTTTGCGGGTCGTAAAATAAAGTGTTACCCAGTCTCTTTATCTTTACCTGTAAATCTCCCCTTCCCGAAGCTGAGCTTTGATAGTCTTTGCAATCTGATTATTTATGTCGGTTGTTTAAACTTCTATCGTAAAACAGCTGTTTAGCCACTTGCATCTTATTATCTTGGGAAGCGTCGCGTTGGGATTCGTGGTGCGTGGCTCGTGCTTCTGTGAAAATAAATCCTGCTTTGATCGGTCATCTCAAACATTTTGCCATTGCCGATGAGCGGTGTTGTGCTGATGATGAGGTCGGTTCTCGTTGAGTTATGGTGGTGGGTACGGCCCTGACTCGTAAGCGCTACTATTGTCCATGTTTCGTATCTCTTATTTTTTTGTTCGCACATATCTAGCAACTGACTTTTTTTGTGGGGCTGCGAGAAAATAATAATAAAAAAATAGTGGGGGTGCGCTGTGACTGGAGCCTATAGAGGGAATGCGCGTGACTTCACCGTCGGCCGGAGTGCCTGCAGTTCCTCACAGTGAGTGGCAAAAAGACTGAACGGCTGTATATGTGTTCAGCGTGAATGCTGCGAAAAACAAACACAACACACACAAATAAAGTGGGAAAGAGCTTTGCGATTGACTGTAGGTCTACAACTAGATTTGACAAAACATCGGAGGTATATTTTTACAGACTGCTATGGAAAGAGGAGCAAATGGTTCGCTACATTTCACAGAAACAACTGGACTCTGTAACTGAACTGTAAAACCATACCCATATATTTTGTATTGTTATATACATTAACAGCTCATCAATTAAATATTTATCATTGCATATTCTGCATTATTGGATGTTTTTTTAATAAACACTGACCAAAAAAACGTATAAAGTTTTAGGGTTGGACGATATGATATATATACTTATATATATATATATGAAGAGTTCAGATGCAAAAGCCTCTAAATGCCATTTGAAATTTTCTTCTTTAATGATGAAAATCATTGATCATTTGATCAAACTTGTATATTTAAGTTCAGTAATTTCACTTAAATAACAATTAATAGGTCATTATCATTGCCATTTAAGTGAAATCACTGAACTTAAATATACAGGTTTGATAAAAATCATCATTAAAGAGAAAAATTTTAAATGGCATTTAGAGGCTTTTGCATCTGAACTCTTCATATATATATATATATATATAGGATATATATAACACTGATATAAGTGATCACCCGGATTTAGACCTACCTATATTATATTTATATAAAGCGTTCACAGGCAAATTTGCTTTATGTTTAGGTCTTGCTTTTATTTCCCCGGTGTCGAAATCAGGCAAACATAAATGTCATGCAACACGATTCCTGGCTGCATGTCAATATCCATGGATCACTGGATCTTTAGTAAGTTGTAAGGAACACTATATTGAGTCCAACATTTAGTTTAAATTGATAAAATAAAATTGTTAGATTTAGTCGCATTTCCGCAGTTTTCCCCTATTAAATCCAGTCACGCAGCAGATCTTTTGCCACTCGGTCAGGCTGAGGGGGTTGTCACGCGGGAAAGTCACGTGTCAATGCATTCCCTCTATTAGGGAAAACATTCACCCAGTGCCGTGACAACGCCGGCCCTCCTAGCCAATAAAACAGACCGGCCCACCGGGAATTCTCCCGGTGCTCCCAATTAGCCAATGCTACTTCATGACACGTGTAAGATATTACTTATAAAATGAATGTGTTAGGAAGTCCCGAATTGCCCTTTGACCATAAATGTTGTAGGCTGTAAGATCCACACTTGTTTAAGTAATGTTTGATTTTGAGTAATTTGAAAACAACAGAAAGCACTGTTCACTTTTTGTCAAACAATAAACATGTTTTTAACATTATACTGTCTGTTTGAACACACTGAGACACAAGAGACTTCCTGATTATTTTTTTTTTTAAAGATCAGATAGCAGGATGGAAAAAAATGTGTGGGCAATGTGAGATCCACTGGCTTAGAAGGTCATGAGAAGAAAGGAACTTACATGGTTAATATTCTGAGGTGCCCCTGTATAAATGATCAGAAATATGATTAGGACAAGAGATATATTTCAACACAACCTGCTGTTTGCATTGCATAATATGTGTGCTCTATTAGCTGGTTGTACCTTGAGAGGTCTGAAGCTCACTATATACAGTCTCTGTGCCTTTTCTCAGAGGAACTAAAGAACAAAATAATATGAGGGTTTAAGATGCATTTAAAAAAACAATAAAAAGAAATAATAATAATAATAATAATAAATATAGCTGTAAGCAGCAACACGTAGGGGGCCAAGGCCTTCATGGCACCGCAAGCAGACCAAGTACATCAAGCTACATGTACAGCAAACAGAACAAGTGCAGCAAGTACAGCAAGCAGAACAAGTGCAGCAAGTACAGCAAACATAGCAAGTACATAAAGTACAGCAAGCACAGCAAGTACAGCAAGAATCTATAGATACCACAATTATGATTTTCTGACAAACTGTTCAAAAGTTATTGACCAAAATAGCATTTTTTTCATATCTCATGACCTGTAGGTGGCGCTATTCCCAACTTTGGCATGGAACCTCAGAACATGCTTTCGATGAAGTGTACCAATTCTCGATTGATCAAACTTTGGCCGAGATACAGCCTCTTAGCCAATTTTGGGTGGACCATGTTAAGTTTGCAACACCATAACTTTTTTTTTCTAGTGTAGTAAAAAAAAAAAAATTGGGAACAGTACTTCTATGCGGCTCGGTCCGAAGATCATTTGAGCACATGTTTGGAGAAAATCAGGTGTACTAAGTTTCATGTCTCTAGATCAAAGGCTTCAAACGTTATAACCATTTTAATATTGAATTTTTGAACTGGTGGTGGCGCTATAGAGTTGGTCCTAGAGACTCAAAAATTACTACAATTACTTTTCATTACCATCACTATAAGTGTGCCAAATTTCATCTTTTTCCTATGTACGATTCATAGGGATGCCATAGACTTCCATTTACAGAATAATAATAAGAAAACGTCTCGGGTTATGACTATAACCCTTGTTCCCTGAGAAGGGAACGAGACACTGCGTCGATAAAATCGACTCTTTGGGGACGCTCCCTAAGCGTGCGCCTCTGAAGTATGAATGAAACTAATCCAATCCTGATTGGTGTTGCGTCGTGACGTAACATGTGACGGCATACCCGGAAGTATAAAAGTGACGCTGTCACAACACACACTAGCCTCGCGATGAAGCAAGACGCTCAAGGGTCTGAAAAGGGGGCGTGGCAACACGACGCAGTGTCTCGTTCCCTTCTCAGGGAACAAGGGTTATAGTCATAACCCGAGACGTTCCCTATCGAGGGAACTCAACACTGCGTCGATAAAATCGACTCTTTGGGGAACGAGTACCCACTAGGCCACGCACCGAACAGACCCGCCCCAGAGTGAAACTGATTAGGCACTCAGCAAGGGCCGAGTACGTGTGCACCGGGCGTACTGGGAAGGCTGAGACTGTAAAACCTGATGAAAGTATGCGGGGTAGCCCAGCCGGCTGCCTCACAAATCTCCTGCAGAGGTACTCCCGACAGAAGGGCCCTAGAGGAAGCCATGCCTCTAGTCGAGTGAGCCCTTAAGGCCAAAGGTGAAGGAACCCCACGCACCTTGTAAGCCTCAGTAATAGCCTGGACAATCCAGTTACTTATAGTTTGTTTGGTCGCCGGGAGCCCCCTCTTAGGTGACCCAAAGCATACTAACAACTGGTCAGATCTTCTCCAAGAAGCAGACTTTTCCAAGTATACACTCAAAGCTCTGACGGGGCAGAGCAAGTGAAGCCTCTCTTCTCCCGCCGACACATGAGGTGGAGGATGGAATGCCTGAAGGACTACAGAGCGAGCCGTACTCGAAGGAACTTTAGGCACGTAGCCCGGACTCGGGTGCAAAAAGGCCTTTACTTTGCCAGGGGCAAACTCCAAGCAAGCTGGCGTTACCGCCAGGGCCTGGAGATCTCCCACCCTCTTAAGAGAGGTAATCGCTAAGAGAAAGACCATTTTCAACGTTAAGTCCTTAGGCGAAGCCGACTCTAAAGGTTCGAAGGGAGCGAGGGACAACCCTTCCAGAACTATTGCCAGATCCCAGGCAGGCACCCTGGACCTGATCGCCGGCCTCATCCTCCAAGCACCACGGAGAAACCTAATGACCAACTGGTGCCTCCCCAGAGGTCCACCATCTACTGGCGCGTGGAAAGCCGAAACGGCAGCCACGTACACCTTAAGAGTGGACGGGGAGAGACCCGCAGAGAAACGATCCTGAAGGAATTCCAGAACTGAAGCCACTGGGCAGTTTACTGGATCCAACCTTCGTTCTCCACACCAAGTGTGAAACACCTTCCACTTGAGGCCATATAATCTCCTGGTAGATGGGGCCCTAGAGCTAAGTATGGTTTCAACCACCTCAGCTGATAAGCCAGCATTTAGGTACTGAACCCCCTCAGAGGCCAGACCCACAGCTTCCACAACTCTGGGCGAGGGTGGAAGATTGTGCCCTCCGCCTGAGACAATAGATCCCTCCTCAGAGGAATCGGCCATGGCGGAGCTATGAGGAGTGATATTATATCCGAGAACCATACTCGTGTCGGCCATCTCGGGGCAACCAGAAGTAGACTGATGCCCTCTTGACGGACCCTCTCCAGGACCCCTGGGAGCAGAGCGATCGGGGGGAAAGCATACAGGCGAAGCCTCGGCCAAGCCTGTACCATGGCATCCAACCCCAGTGGGGCTGGATGTGAGAGGGAGAACCAAAGTGGACAGTGGGACGTCTCTCGAGACGCAAACAGATCCACTTCCATCGGTCCGAACCTCTCCCATATCGACTTCACCACATCCGGATGAAGTCTCCATTCCCCGGGCCTCAGCCCCTGCCTCGACAGGATGTCTGCTCCCCGATTCTGAACCCCTGGGATATACATTGCCCTTATTGACAATATCTTTCCCTGGGACCAAAGGATAATCTGATGCGCCAGTTTGCACAGAGGGCGCGATCTGAGTCCCCCCTGTCGGTTCAGATAGGCCACCACTGACGTATTGTCTGTCCGTATAAGGACGTGGCGACCCTCGATGTCTGGGAGGAAGCTCCTCCATGACCGCGCCCCAGCCCGTAAGGGAGGCGTCTGTCGAAACGGTTTCCCGGCGACATGACACCCCCAACACTGGCCCTTGGGATAGGAACCAAGGCTTCTTCCATATTTGCAGAGACTGAAGGCACTTGCGCGTTACTCTGATCATACGGAACGGATTTCCTTTGGGTGAGAACCCCTTGGTCTTCAACCACCACTGGAGGGGCCTCATGTGAAGGAGGCCCAGAGGAATAATGTTGGATGCCGCTGCCATGAGGCCCAGCATCCTTTGAAAGTGTTTCACAGTGACGGCCTGACCTAGCCTCACCCTGGACACCATCGCCAGAATTGACTCGATACGTGCGGGAGACATACGTGCCTGCATTGTAATCGAGTTCCACACGACTCCCAAAAAGGTCGTGCCCTGGGACGGTTCTAGCACACTCTTCTTCAAATTGAGTCTTAACCCCAATTTTTGAATATGGCCAAGAACGACATCTCGATGCCGAACTGCCATCTCCCGAGACTGGGCCAAAATAAGCCAGTCGTCGAGATAATTCAATACGCGAATCCCCTGAAGTCTCAGTGGAGCAAGGGCCACGTCCATACACTTGGTAAATGTGCGGGGAGAGAGTGCTAGGCCGAACGGAAGAACCCGATATTGGTATGCTTCGCCCCCGAAAGCGAACCTCAGGTACCTCCTGTGACAAGGAAGGATGGAGATGTGAAAATAGGCGTCTTTCAGATCTATCGTGACAAACCAGTCCTCGGATCTGATTTGACTCACGATTGTTGGAATGGTCAACATTCTGAATTTGAACCTTCTCAGAGACCGGTTCAACACCCTGAGATCCAAAATTGGCCTTAACCCCCCATCCTTCTTTGGAACTATAAAGTACCGGCTGTAAAACCCGGACTCCCTGTCTACCGGAAGAACACGTTCTATGGCTCCTTTCGACAGCAGAGTCTGTACTTCTTGTTCCAACACCTGAGCCTGCTCTGGGACCACCGCAGTGAGCACCACCCCAGAGAACTTGGGGGGGCGGTGCGCGAACTGCAGTCTGTACCCAACTCGTATTATCTGCAGGACCCATGGAGATATGTTGGGAAGATGATACCATCCCTCTACAAAATCTGCTAAGGGTACCAGCCTCTCGAGGCTGGCCTCTGGTGTCTTTTCGCTGGAAATTGATGCGGCCCGAAGCGCTGTTAACGGCGGACCTGCATCTTTTCCTAGAGGGCCCCGTTGTGAGAACAACCTCGGTTGTCTCACTGCGGAGGGGGCAGCCCTCTGAAGTCCTGCCTTGGCTAGGACCTCTTTTCCGAAGTCCTCTTAGCCTGAATGACGTCCCTCAGGTCGCCCCTCTGGCTGGAGGACTTCGGTTTTTGGGAGCGTTTCCTCTGTTGCCAAGACCCCGGAGGGGGGGCTCTAGAGGAAACGCTCTCCTTCTGCTCTGCCCTGTGGGAGGAGCTGGCTGATGGCTGGGGCTGATTGCTTTGCCCCCCCCTACTAGATTTGGCCTTCGCTTTCCGGGGGAGGTACTGCTGGAACGCCGCAGATTGTTTTCTCGACTCCTGAAACCTGTCGACAACCGAATTAACGGCGTCGCCGAACAGGCCAGAAGCCGAAAGCGGCGCATCCAGCAGGAAGGACCTATCCTTTTCTTTAATACCGGATAAGTTCAGCCACAGATGCCTCTCCGTGGCCACCATGGCCGCCATAGAGCGGCCAATAGCGCTGGCCGCTTCCCTAGTGGCCCGGAGAGACAAATCTGCGGCCTTCCTCAACTCCGCGACATCTTCAGGAGTAGGCCCCTCCCCCTCATCCAAATCTTTCAGGAGGTCGGCCTGGTATGCCTGCAAAATCGCCATTGAGTGCAGACACGAACCAGCCCGACCCGCCGCCATGTAAGCCCTGCCCACCAATGCAGATGTCTCTCTGCAGGGCTTACTAGGCAACACCGGGGTCTTTAGGGAAGACGCCGATTCGGGAGAGAGATAGCTCGCTAAAGCCTCCTCCACCTTCGGCATCTTCCCATATCCCATATCTCGAGCCCCCATAACATTGCTGTAATCTATTACATTGGGACTCGAAATACGGGACGAATGCGGTCTTTCCCACGTTCTCGAGATCTCTTTATGGAGATCAGGGAAAAACGGCAGACCCCGGCGGTGAGGCTGTGACCTGCGCTGCAGGTAACGCTCGTCCATTTTACTGGTGACTTGCGTTTCCTGCTCATGTTGTGGCCAGCTGATGTTTAGTCTGGCCACAGCGCGTGTCACAACCTCCACCAGCTCCTCATAACCCAGGCCGCGTGATGGCGTGCTGAGATCACGGTCGTCCGCATCGATGCTGAGCACGTCCCCTTCCTCAGAAGTAGACAGCTCAAGCACCGGGACCTGATCGCGGGTAGGAGAAACCGCAGCGCGGGCTCCCACACCACTCTCAGAGGCTGCGGGACCAGCCGATGGCGAGCGAGAAAATGCCTCAGCATTCTCACTCTCCTCCGCCAGATCCCGCTGCGAACCCCAGGATCTCAGTCGCCGCATCGCCTCGACATATGCGGGACCGGAACCCTGGGGAACGCGAGCCTGACCGTGCTCGTCAAAGCACGCCAGCCGGGAGCGCAGCACTCTAATAGGCAAAGCCTCACACATTTCACAAGCAGCCCCCTCGAGAGCTGCCCGTGCATGCTGCACTCCCAAACAATACACACATAGAGAGTGTGCGTCCCCACCCGTGATGAAACGAGGGCAGGGATGCACACACCTCTTGAATTGTTCACTGGCCATACTTTCTTTCAATAATAAGACAAACAACACCAAATAAGACAGACAGTTTCAACATAAAGCGCTTGCTGAAGAGCGAAAGCTAGTGTGTGTTGTGACAGCGTCACTTTTATACTTCCGGGTATGCCGTCACATGTTACGTCACGACGCAACACCAATCAGGATTGGATTAGTTTCATTCATACTTCAGAGGCGCACGCTTAGGGAGCGTCCCCAAAGAGTCGATTTTATCGACGCAGTGTTGAGTTCCCTCGATAGGGAACTAACAGATACAACAGTGGCTATCCCCTTCGGGGCTTGGCCCCTAACAAGTAGTATTTTCTTTTGCTTTCATTTTTTTAATACATTTTTTTTAAGAAATGTTTGTGTAAAGAGTCAAATGCAAACTGTAACTGTAATTCTGGATAAGTAACTGGCTATTGGAGTTAGTAGGAACCTAATTAGTGTGACCTTTCCTGTTTATAAGATGTCTCTGTAATTAAATCCAGGGCCCTTGATAATTTGGATGGTTAGACCCTACCCAGGAAGTGGCTTTTCTCTAATCAGCTCATGTATGGCAAGAAATAATCGTCCTCTTCAAAGGCAAGAGGAGCAAGAGGAGAAAAAAAGAGATGGATATCATTTTAAAAGGTTGAACTTACTTTTTGTAGGATCTACAGGTTGAGGATGAACCACAACTGTGTACTCCACGTCACCTTCATTTGGTGACTGCAGGCTGTCCTGATCAGCTAAATCTGGTAGAAAAAATGAACAAGACAAAAAATGAACAAAATCAAGTAGTTGAGAGATTTCGAGAATTCAGGTACAGTATATGCTGCAAGAAAAATGCAAGTAGTTTGGACAGTGCATGGGAACCGGCATTCAGAATAAAACTTGAGTGGTGATGTACCTGGAGGTCTTTCACTCCAAACACTCTCTTTGTAATTCATCTCCACTGAAACACAGCAAAAAGAGTGCATCAGCCAAGGTCAGTTACACGCCACCGTTCTCAGCTGAAATCAAATTAGTTGAAGTACATTCATTCTTATCCCAAACTTTACCAAAATATGTTATTTTCAGATTTTAGATAATTGAGTCACCTGAGACGTTAGGAAGGATACGGACACACACGCAGACTTTAACAGAGTTCAAATTTATACTTGACGTGCTTTCTCACCAAATCTATAAGCTCACTTTTCAGCATGTTAAACATGGTTTAGGATTAGTCAGTGACATTTCCCTAAACAGGAACAGTTTGTTTTGTCCATCTTCAATTTTTCCACTTTAGCAACAATCGCTTTATATTTTTGAAGCCTTTGGCCTGCTTTGAGAGACATTGCATCTGAACTAAACTGTTTGGTCTACTCTGGACACTGGTGACTGTGCAACAGACCAGACAAATACAAAAGCAGGAACTTGTACATGAAATAAATGCCTATGCAAAGTTGCCATTCAAATGTGATTTAAGGGATACACCACCCAAAAATGAAAATTCTGTCATCATTTACTCACCCTCAAGTTTTTGCAAACCTGTATGAGTTTCTTTCTTCTGCTGAACACAAAGGAACATTGACTTCCATAGTAGGACAAAAAAAAATAAAAAATCTATGGAAGTCAATGGTGCCAAAAATTCCAGTAATTCATCAAAATATATTCCTTTGCGTCAGAATTGAAACTCATACAGGTTTGCAACCACATGAGGGTGAGTAAATGATGAGAGGATTTTCATTTTTGGGTGGAGTATACCTTTAAACCAAAGGAGGTGGATCTTAAACACAAAACTTTATCTTTAGCAAAGATCAAAATTCAGAGAGATTAAATGATACCTAGTTTATATCTCATTCAAATATGTTAAAAAGGCAGACTGGAAAAAGTCAGACATTGACAATCTTTCGATAAGAGGGAAGAAATTCAAAATGAGGAAATTCCAAATAAAGCATTTTATTAGATTTAAAGTGCCTACCAAATCTGAATTTATGTACCAACTAAACACATACACACATAAAGTAAATAATGCCTTAACACAGACACTTTTAGTGTAAAATGAAACAAACAACATCTATTAAAAAAACATATGATGATGGAAGCAAACACATGCACATTAAAGCAAAGCAGTAATATCAGAGAAAAAGCACACAGTGAACAGATGATGCAGATTCTGTTAAGATAAATGATGAGCCAAACTGATATGATACAGGTGAGTTAAACATTTTTCTCCTGTTAAGGAGAAGATGGGGCAGTTGATTTTAATACTTTAGTAGCCAGCATCAAAAAGTGACGTAATTTGATGACAAATTGACCATTTAGATATTGTCTAGATGGTCTCTTGGATTTCAAAACTGTCTCCCTTAATTGTGGAGATCTCATGTCCCATACTGTAGGTCACCTTGCCCGTCAAGTCGTCAAAGTGTAGGAGATCTGGGTGTGGAATTAGAAAGTGAGTTTGACAGCGCACACAGTGTCTTAGTACAGTACATTTAGTGGAAACTGGCAACTAAATGTAATGGTCATAGATTAACACAAGCATAAGTTATGTAAAGACAGATACCAAAGCTTGAATGCTCATGGTCTGTCCTCTTGACTCATGAAAAGGATGTGTTTCACCGAACAGCATATGTTCTGAAACAATGAAGTTGCACTTTAACAGGAAGAAAGGGGGAGGTTGATTCTTTGTTTAACAAAGAATCAACTTAAATCTGTTCCACACAACATCAGTTTTTCACCATTGACTTGAGATGAGCTCGATGAGATGGACTCAATATAAAATTCTTTATTTTATGGAAGGATTTGTCAGTGTTGCAAGAGTTTTGGCCTGAAAAGGTGAATGACCACAACATAGACTTATAGTGAAAAAAGTGAAAGAATAAATAGAGTGGATGATGATGGCTGAGAAACAAATTAAAAATATAAAGAAACTACCTGTGTGGGTATTATAATGGGGGTCATGGGTGAGACTCAGTGTTAGAGAGTCATCTGATTTAGGACTTGCAGGTTTTCTGAGGATTGGTGAGAGAAAGATCAAAAGTATTCATTAAATATTCACCGCTACCTAACTTTCTTGGTCGTCTATGGATAAAATAAACTAGGATTCCCTTTAAAACAGATTTGTCTGTTTGGGACCAAATGACCTGCACAGGCATGGTCAGTAGCTGTGGTGTAACAACTATCTAATAACACAAAACCCCCAAATCTTGTCCCTCTAATGTCGTCAACTCAAGACCAACTTAAACATAAGCCAGTCAACTCACACCGATAGTTTGGCAGCCATCTCTCTTTTACCTGTGACAGAGAGAAAAGTTGAAAAGGGAGTTTTGTTCACATATTAGAAGTGTGGGCAGCTTGTGAAGGCAGGGGGTCTGTAGGTCTCTCTACCTCGCTTGGCCTTGTAGCGCATCACAATGAAAAGGACCAGTAGAGCCACTAACAGCATGCAGAACACAGCAATCAAAGCCTTTTTCCACATTGCCAGGCTCACTACAGGGAGGGCAGGTATAAAGAGACATATAAGAAAATGATTAGTCAACAAATAATGTGGACTTTCTTTATCACCTTTAAGATTTTAAAGAAAGATTTGTTTACTTTGAAGGAACAGGTCATCCATAAGTTAAAATTTTGTCACCATCTACATGTCTTTCTCAACCTATGACTTACTTTCTTCCATGGAGCCAGAAGGGGTTTTTATTAGCAAAATGTCCAAGATGTTTTTTTTTATACAATATTTTTCATAAAATAATATTGAAAAGTGTCCATGGCTGTCAATCTATATTTTTATTGAATAATGATTTTTTAATGTCAGTCTGTTCTTCACACACAAAAACAACAACAACAAACATATTACATGGCTTCAGAAGACTTGGAAAATAACCCATGACACATATGGCTTTCACACCGGGTAGTTTTAGGAACTTAGTTCCAAGAACTAGCCACCAAGGTGGCTTCCCGAAAACTAATGGTTCCCTCAGGAACATTTTCCTGGTTGCATTCGGACTGCCAGTACAAACTCAACTTGTGACAGAATCCACGCTCGTTGTTGTGACTTTTATTTTGGCTGCACTAAGAACGCCAGAGCACATTGTGCTTGCATGCTCTCTGTTCATTAGTTTACGATCTGTCTGTCTACGAACAGTCCTGTCTAGTAAGTTATTAGATAGAATTGTTATACATAGCAAGACAGTATATGAAAAGGCATTAGCGTATGCTTTGTGGTTGATGTTGCTAGCTGAGCAGAAAAACATAATAATGTTTGGCTTGGTTCCCTCAAAGTTGCGTTGGATCGTTCGGCCAATCAGCGCTCACTAATGTTATTGGTAGTTCCTATAGTTCTGGACTCGTTCCTAGTTCCTGCTGCGTGAACACGCCAAAATCCAGGTACAGACCAGAGATGCAGTGTTACTTTAGGAGAGGTAGGAGACAAAACCCACAGGTATCGCACACATAACATGTTGTTCTAAAACATTGGTGAGATTTAACTTTATACTCTCTGCAAAAAAAAAAAAAAAAAATATATATATATATATATATGTGTGTGTGTGTGTGTGTGTGTGTGTGTGTGTGTGTGTGTGTGTGTGTGTGTGTGTGTGTGTGTGTGTGTGTGTGTGTGTGTGTGTGTGTGTGTGTGTGTGTGTGTGTTTAAGAATGAACCAATGGAATGAATTCTAATAAAAAAAAACCTGCATACGCAATAATTATATTATTTAGGAAAGAACTAATAATATTGTATTCATTTACAGTATGTATTAAGTCTTGATGTCATTTCATAGAATTGATAATTGATTTCATGAAAATCCTAAAGAAGCAAATGTTTAGGACTTTATTGGAAACTTCGAAACAGAAAGAACAAATGAAACTCTTTATGCTGAAGAAAGATAATGCTCACCTTTGACCTTGACAATGTCACTCCTGCTTGACATGTCTGCCGTGTTAAATGCCTCACAGTAGTAATTTCCACTGTTTTTCCTTTTCACTGTACTCAGGACAAATGAGGATGAATTACTCTGAACTGTTGTGGTGTGAATTTCTGTGTGATCGCTGCCATAAAACCTAAAACTGATTGGTGGAGAGCCTTTTGCAATGCCACATATCAGGGTAACATCATTGCCCTCTTCAATGTTTTCAGGAACTGGAAGGACTGTAAGTAAGGGCTTTCCTACTGGAACTAAAGACAAGAGAAAAATGAACTCAAAGATGTCTGCAAAACAAAATTTAGTTCTAGGCCATTGGTTTTACTAAGTGACATAACATGAAATCAGTGGCATCAGCCAACTTCCAAGGAGGCCGCACGATGACTTAAATGCAAAATCAAGACATTTCAATAACAATATATATATATATATATATATATATATTCAGGAATCCCAATATTAATACTGGTTAATTATTTAATATAATCAATATATACTCAACATTCCTGTTAATTTTAAAACAAGCAGTTTTGTGATAATTATGGACGAAATAAATAAAAAGGTTGGAAACATGCCTTTGACACTATTTGTTGAGAATCACTGCATTAAACCACATAGCCTAAATAAAATTACAGTATACTATGACACACTGGACCAAACCTTTTCTTATAGAATCCCAAAAAACTGTTAAAATGAATACTATCATATATAAATAACACAAAACTATAGTCAGTTACATTTGAATATGCACACGCAGAACTAAAAAAAAGTTCGGAAAAATAAAATCTGCATGATTGCAATGGCCATCATTTATAAAGTTATTTATATCTAATCATTGGGTAAAAAATGTTTTTTCATATTTTTTTCAGTCAAATTGGGTTGAAATGAAAACAAATCAACACTAAATACATGATATTATACATGATTTACAAAGAACTCACCTATTACAGTCACCTGTAGCCTTTCACTCATCTTGACTGAGACATCATTATTCTTTGCTTCACACATGTAACTAGTAATCTCTGAAGGAGTTGATATCAAGGCTGAGAAACGAGCCTCCTCTTGAAAGCGAGACACCTTGGTCCAGTTCCGAATAAAGTTGTTACTCTTCAGAGAGTAGGTAATTGGCAGACTTCCATTCTCAGAGTGGCAACGGATCCAAAATGCCTTTCCCACGATAACAGGACCATCAACTGTGATCTCAGGCTTTGAAACAAGCACTTAAGAGAAACAATGGTTAATTAATACTTTTTTATTGATCAGATTTTTTGGTTAGTTTTCAAGACAGAGTTGATAGGTACTACCTTTTGCTCCAAACCGCAGCATTGAGCTCTCTTTGATAATCCCATTGGCTTCAGCCTTACACACATATTTCCCATTAGTCGCTTTGCTTGCAGTGCCACTGTATCTGTTATCCTTTATTACAAATGTGTCGTCTCTAAATATTGAATACTTTATATCCTCCCTTTGAATTCTTGAGGCAAGGCTGCTGATTTGGCATCTAATGTCAAAGTGTTCTCCTTCAAATACCTCACCAGGATGAATGCTCAGGGAAGGTATAGAGAAAATCTCTGAGGCAAAAATATGTAAGTCATTATTAAAAGAATAAATTAAGAGAATATATTTATAAGTTTTTGACCAAACAAGAAACAAAGCGAAGAAGCAAACAAGGTCTGACATGCATAATATAAGATGTGATTGTTCAGATTCACACAAAAAATGATACTGAAGACTAATATACAGTAACATACAAAGTCACATTGACCAATAGTTCTTTTATGGTGCTATTTTTGTCCTGTCTGCACACTGACAGCTCATGGTCACTGCATGCTTCTAAACATATCATGTACTAATCAAAAATTCTCTGTTAATACATTATGTAGGTGAAATTTCACAAAAAAATACATTATGAAATAATTTTCGTTAAACATTCAATATCTCTCACCTTTTACAGTGATGTTCAAAGAGGAGGATTTTTGAACACCACCGAGGATTGAAATGCACTCATATTCTCCAGAGTCATTAACCTTAGCCAACATAGCATAATCTTCATGTGTCATGTTCAAACTAAGCAAATTGTGTCCATGGCTGAAAATGATTCTGAGTTCTGAGTTTCTCTGGTGAGTCATATTCACACTGCAACTGAAGGTTATGTTATCTCCTTCAGTGACATCTGTGTATGGCATGACTGTAATATCGGGTTTGATCTCCAGCTCTAAATTGGAACAGAATGTGTACATATTTAAACTTACTTCCAGGATGAAATAATAATAATAATAATAATTTTTAAAATACCTTCCTACCTTCAATGTCAACACTAATCACATTACTGTTGTTTGATCTTTCTACTCTGCTACCAAGATTAATGGAATAGTAGCAAAACATATTCACAGTTCCCTTATAAACGGTCAGGTTCAGCTCAACTTTGTGAGTGCTATTGGAGTCCTTCCGGCCGAGTTCCTCAGGTCCATCTCTAAAGAAAAACATCAAATAACCTGTTTCTCCATCTGCTGTACAGACAGCAGTAACATTATCTCCTTCTGTCAATCTCAGTTTATCCACTGTTAGGACTGGTTCCAGAAGACCTGCAGACACATCAGTTGATATTAGGATTCAAGAACAAGAAACCTCTTGACATTGAACTGATGTGTTATTCTACCTTTCACTGTCAGGTGTTTGGCACCGCTCTCCTTCTTTATCTCCTCGATGACAACTGCACATTTGTATCTGCCAGAGTGAATCACTCTGGCATCTGGTATATAGAGAGAGTCCATAGCGTTGGTCTGGTCAGTAATTATGCGATCATCTTTGTAGAATATGTATTTATAGTTGAGGTGAGACCCTGAGGTGTGGCTAGCTTTTGCCTGGCATTTCAGTGACACATTTGTACTTCTTTGAACTTCATTCCTGGGCTGAATAAAAAGTTCCACACTTTTCATTATGATCTCTAGGGAAGGAAAAAAAAAAGACATCTTACCCTTGGACTCATCTCTTGGACTCTGTTCGGATGGTTCATTCAGCACAGTGCTTGATACCCTTATGCAAGCAGGAGGACTGAACAGTCTTATTTTCTATCTCCCTTTTGATAGCAGTGCCCATGGGGTCTCAACATTAGGGCAGGAAGGAAAATAGTTAAATATATTTCGAGGGATCCATCTCTGGGGATTAGAACTATTTTAGAAACCTCTGTCCACACACATTTTATTTTAATAGAGACTGTTACAATGCAATGCTTTATAAAGATCCAGTTAATAAAACAAGTAATATAACACTTTAGTGGCATATTAAAAGTTATATCAATATACAATTTTATAATTTTGTGTTTTATGATTTAGTTTTTCACACAGCTATGCTTATTTATATTCTTTTCCAATATTGCTGTTTTTAAATCCCTTACTAGTATGGTAAGGTAAAAAATTGTGTTTAAACAATATCAAGCTTTTTTAACTTTAGCATGCATGCATTCATTTAGCTCATGCATATGCTGAAATTCAGTAGCAGATATGGCCAAGACAAAAGAGCTCTCACAAAAGCTATGAGAAGTCGTTTGATTACTTCCAATAGGCTATGGCCAAGAACATTTCCAAGACATTAAAAGATTTATATTGAAATGTAATCAAGGGGAATAAAATCAAAGGCATCAAGATCAGAGCAGCTGAGGGGGAAACAAAAAACAAAACAAAACAAAGGCTTGCAAGATGATCTGTTGAATGGAGGAAACTTTTTTTTTAGTGCAGACTATAAAAAGAACCCTAAACAAGCATTGACTTCATGCCTGGACATATCGACGAAAGCCGCTCTTGACCAAGAGAACATAAAAGGCTGACTCGAACATGCTAAAAGATTCGAAGAAAGCAGTGGTAGCATGAAAACCAAACAATATCAGTGAGCTGGAAGCTTTTGCACACATAGAATGGCCTAAGATTCCAGTAGAGAGCTGTCAAAACTTTTAAGCACTTACAGGTAATGTGCGTTTAAGGTTATAAAAAGTAAATGATTCTCTACAAATTCGGGGGGTTGAATAATCTTGTAAATGGATATTAATAAACTTTTTATTATGATCACACCCTTTATAATAATACAATCAAACCTGTATAATAATTATATTGATGTCCTCAATAATAGAGAGGCATTCAATATTTGGCTACTTCACAAATAAACATTTAACATCTATTTTAGTTTTAAACTTGATATTCTTTATAAGGGCATTTAGATGTGAGTAATTAATTTGGTCACCATTTCTTTTTGTTCTTTACTACTTTAATAGTTTTTAAAAGTTTTTTTTTTTCATTTTTCACTTTCACTTTTTTTAATTGCACTGCAGGACTAAATAAACGAACAGCATTTCCACATACGCTGGCAAGGCATAGTTAAAATATCTAAAATTCTACAAATAGCTCCATCAACTATAGTGACATTATGTGATTTGGATTCAAGGTTTGGCTGTAAGAGCATCATGCCGAAAAATTACGATGCGTCAAATCACGCGGCCTGAGTTCTCATGCCTCACTTCCCGCTAATTTCCAGAACCAATGCATGTGACAATACACATAGACATGTTTTCAAAAACAAACCGCACTGAGTAGTACAGTACCACAAAGCATAGCAAAAATCCTTAATCCAAATAATAAGGATTTTATTTGTATTAATAAATCTGGTCAACATATTCAAAATCCTTATTACAATTACATTTAACAAACCGAAAACAACTACTTTCCACAGTTAAATAATGATTATAATATTCTGAAAATGAGTAACAAGGCAGAGAAATTAGCAGCTTACAGACCTGCACAGGCTTCCTCTGCTGATGTCAGATGTCATTGAAGAGGGTGAATTTAAAACAAACAAACAAACAAAAACAAAACAAAAACCCAAGATAAATTCATACCCAAGCACCTTCAATACCTGTTTAAATCAGAATTGAGAGACTAGAGATAAAAGGTGTCCTTACAGATGAAGAGAAAGAGGAGGAGAATGGTGCCCATCCTTAGAGAGGGCTGGATCTTCACCTGCATGGCTGAGCACGTCTAACCAGTGTGTGTGTACATGTGTCATAGGACAAAGTGAATTGGGACTGAAAGGAGGAGCTGTGTATGTAGTGTTTCACTTCTGCCTGGTTATCACTTCATGCAGCCTCTGTGCTCTTAATTTCACAGGAAGTGAGTCTTGCTTCCTGAGGAAGTCAGGCCAGGAGCTGGAATGTTCACTCTGGCTAGATTTGCATCTCTCTGATGAGGCAGGAGGCTGGTGCAATGGACAAGAGGTGGAAGTGACCCTACGTCAGTACTCTTCAGGTAAACACAGAGACTTCCACATCCAATCGTGAACCAGCAGAGCCTCCCAGAAAAGCGAAAACAGGAAATTATAAAATAAATAAATAAATACTGTAAATAAAAAGTGCTAGATGATTACTCCTGTTTTAACTATGAAACCATGTCTGGCTTTCAGTCTTCCTGTAATTATCAGAACAAACAGAATACTTTTGTGGTTGCAAAGCAGCGACATATTTAAGAAAAAATATGAATCATAAGAATGACAATTGCTTTTGTTCTAGTAAACAAATGTTTTCCAAGAATGCAATATTTTTTTTATTGGTATTTAAATATATTATATTTTGTTATACAGAAGTAATAATAATTAATATAACATATAAACGGTTAACGCACACATACATATAAGTTAAGGCATTTTGCTGAATAAAAATGTTTATGGACATTTGTCAACTAACATAAATAAAAACTGCCAAAATTAAGAGGAACTGGATAAAAGTATGACAGAAACAAGAAAAGCAAAGAGACAAATCAACCAAACTGTACATTTATGTAACTGGTTTATTTGAATGATTTCTTCTTGTCTTTTAAACCATGGTGAAAAAGCAGTCTACAGCCATGGAAAACCCCTGATTGTTTCAATTCATTTAAATTCTTTTACTTTAACATTTTAAAACCCAAAGCAGGATTAGTAGAGCAGTTATTTCCAGTTTGATGAAGCCAGAGTACATCCCCAATTCCTCACAGCGAGCAGAAAAAAAAGGTATAATCTGATGGGAATAAACCGGGACAATTCATAAACAAATACACTGATTAAAGTGCAAAACCAAATTATCCTTTCAATGAAAACAAATGTCCAAAGGGGGCAGAGAATCCAACAAGAGACTACAAGGGACCTGAGGAAAGGTGAAGGACAAATGTGCTTTCTCTTTCCCTTCAGGCATTAATGCGAACAGAGCAAGAGAATGGCAGTCATACCATGAAATACAAGTAAAAAGCAAAACAAAACAAAACCTGAAAAAGAAGAGGAGATTAAAAGATGAAAAAATAAAACCTTATCTGGTTAAAATTTTAAATACAGAAATTCCATAAACCGGTTAAAATGAATTCCAACAATTCAAACACATTCCAAGAACTGGATTTTGGGAAGGTAAGAATTAAACATATCTGTCAGTCATCATTTTGCATCATCAGTGACATCAGGGTGCTAGAGTTGATGGACATTACACACAAGGATGTTTTACCTTCACCATCTCACTAGACAGAACAACAGATTCAGGACTGGTGTTAATTCAACTAATCAAGGAGCCAAGTTTCAAAATCATCTTTCATTTATCTATAATTTGATGTGAAGACATGAATTAAATTTCCATAACGAAGTGTAATTTAATAGTGACATGATTGTCCCAAAGGAAAATGTGTAAGAGCTATGTAAGTTTCTCAGTATTTGAGCCAGGCTTGTTTCCATCAATCACCTCACAATAAAAGTTCAGATATGCTCACAGACATTTTTACCAAAATGTGAAAGGGAAAAAAAAACAAAAAAAAAAACACTTTGATCAGAGCTTTTACCAAAATACATTTTCACCCTGACCCGCAACCCTTCTAGTTTTATCGATTGGCTAAATGAATCAGCAACTCAAAAGTTCCTTACAAATCTTACTTTAGCACTGTTTAAAGCTTTTATTCACATTATGTACTCTAAAAATGTCAAACACACTTAATATTAAAAAAGTGCACTTTAGTGATAGTTCACCCAAAAAAATATATATACAGAATAATTTACCCAAACATTTAGACAAACCTGTGTGACTTTTTAATTTTAAAATTACTGGTCCCCATTCATTTGCATTGGATGAGAAAAGAAAAGCAGTTTGGACACTTTTATCAACATCTCCTTTGTGTCCGACAAAAGGAAGGTCATACGGACGACATGCGGGTGAGTAAATGATAACATTTTCGCATTTGGGTGAACTACCACTATAGGCTTTTAGCAAACACTTTCATTTTCATTCTTGTGCAAACTGATAAAGGACTAAAGCTATCAGCAGCACAGGACAAAATCAGATTTTATGAGTACATAAAGTGCTACTATAAGAAAGACATGATACTTGTATTTGATTCCACATAATGCTGTGCCGCTATGCCAGTGGTTTTCAGTCTTGGTCCTGGGGACCCACCGCTCTGCACATTTTGTGTCTCTCTTATCTTATATTCAGTTCATAGATCCCGCACCTAATGAGCTGATGATCTGAATCAAGTGTGATATATAAGGGAGACATAAAATGTGCAGAGCATTGAGTACTCAGCACCAGGATTGAAAACCACTGCTCTATGTTTAACTAAGAGATTAGACATTCATGGAGTGACAGAGAAAGTGAAAGTGGAAACATATCAGGTCAAACAAACTGCAACAAGATAGGCTAAAAATATGAAATAGTTTGTTTTCTGTTCTGTCAACTGCACTCAATTTTCATTAAGGAAAAATTACAATTGAGATCATATGATTTTTATGACCAAATGAGTTACCCGAAGAACCTCTGGAAAGAGCAGTGTCCTCAGAAGATGGGGAGGAGTAAATGATGAAGGCGATGATGACCAAGAAAACTAAAGTTTTGGCGCTGCAAAAGTAGGTAGTGTGGCATTTCCAGATTAAAACTGAAGCTCTGGCATAATCAAATAGGGGGCTGTGTGTGTACCGAGAGAACAGAACTGTTACATATGACTCTTGAATTGAACCTTGATGTTATTGTAATGCCCATGTAGCAAAAACTTAATCTCTCTTCTTATTTTTACATTTCTGACTACAAATCTAAATCCTGATTATTTGAGCTAAAGAACCTTTGCTTAGTGTGGATGCAAATGACGGGTTATCCCTATTGTCCCTGTCCAGTGCTTTAAGATTCAGTGCTGTTGTTGAGGTGTAATGCAGCATCTGTGTACATACAGTCCAAAAAAGAGTTGATGTGAAGGGGGTTTGGCACCGTGTGTAAACATGTTAAGCAGGGATGTGCAGGGAAGGTTGTGATTGGCGAGGAGGAGTGCTGCATCGGTTTTCTATTTCTTCACACAAGAAGAAGAGCATATCCAACCGTACTTCAGCAGAGATATGAAGAGGCATGTGGTTTCAGAGAGAACCCACTGAGCAACAGGCCTTCAACGGTCAGCCTGGAACACCCAGCTTCTGGAAGTTTGTCATCTTCATAGTCTCTTGTTTTTAGGTCGATCTATCAGACTCTAGGGCTTTGAATGTAATGAGGTTAACAGTTCCAAGACAGTCAAACCCGGCCAGCATCGGCCAAACCATAAAGTTTTAAGATCTTTATATGCATTTTAATAATTTACACTCCTTTGCCCAGCCAAGTGTACAATCAATAAATCCATAATGAGAATTATCTTGAAAATAATAATGATACTAATATAGTCATTATGTGTGGGTTCAGCAGCCTTCTTTAGACATTCATCATGGTTGTTGCATATGTACAGGAAGTAATTTACATCCAGGGGGAAGGGCGGGGCAGCAATGGTTAAAGGTGAGAGGTCATGATGTTATCTGCTGAGTCTCTTCTCTGCAGAGTAGATGGACATGTAGTAGTCATTACTGCCCACGGCCAGATGAGGCTGAGGAGGTGAAAGAAAAGGAAGAGGATTATATATGTAAAGTTTTTATTTTCTATTACAGTGTTACCATAGAAATTATTTTTGTTTTGTTGGCCAATATTACAGTGGCCTTACATTACATTGACATCTGTCAATATATCATGAGGATAAATGGAAAAGTAAATACTGCTTGCATTGATTCCATTGAATTTAAATAATAATGGGAGGCATTACTGATTTAAAATTAGTATTTGGGTGGTCTTCCATAAAGCCTTAAATGTATTATTTGACCAACTGATTTATAATCTACAGCATGTGTGCTATTTGCTCATCAAGATGCTGTTATATTTATTTGTATATTTTCTTTCTTACTTTTTATTCTCCTCTATTAATATTCTTAAGTTTATCTCATTATTTGATTAGCTATGATTGATATATTTCATACTTGCCTTTAATTATGTGCTCATTGTTCAAAATGTAGCAATAAAAACATTAAGTTGGTCATGTGATTTCAACATGATTGTCACTATGAGGAAGATGAGCCCTTCTGTATAATAAAACAGCTTTTTTATCTTGAGCAATAACTATATTTAACACTGGTCAAAAGTACTATATATTTCTTGAGAGGTAAAAAAAAAAAACCTCAGTGCATCTTTAAATCTAAATTAAGTGTGTCAGTATATATATATATATATATATATATATATATATATATATATAACTGGATCAACTGTGGCTCATCTTTAAGCTCATCAGTATCAGTAGTGATGGCAATAGCTTTTCTAAAAACAGATCTCCTTCATTCACAATTCAAGTGGTTCAAAAAACGATTCACAGATTAATTTGAAGAAAAATATTTATTTATATGCAGCTATTCATCATTATGTTTTCAAGTTATAGATTTGGGTGTTTTTAAATAAGTTTCATTCAGTTTGTTTATTTAGTGAAGTTTTACACCGTCATGCTAATTTTTGTTTTAGTACTATACTGCTCTAATTGTACAAAACAAGTTATAATTTACATTTAATAATATTGCCCCTCAGGTAATATAGTTAGCTACTTTTGTGTTTTTTTTTCTTAACTAATTATGATTAAAATATATACCTGTATACCTGTCTGGTTACTGCTGCGCAGCAGGATAGTGGAGCACTAGAGACCTTATTCCCAAGAATAAGGTGGAATTTATACCACAGTAGCTTGACTTTTAACTACCTTTTAAGTGTAATTTACAGTTCAAAATAGCTTTCCCAACACTGCAGCTTATAGAAATAACAGCTTATAAGGGACAAGGTCTTCATTGAGAGTTGTGTCTTACCCAGTAAGGGTGGAAGGCCAGGCAGCTGATGGCTCCGATCCTCTGCCCCATGAAACCATCATAGTATTTAATGTTGCTGATCACATCCCCATTGGAGTTATACACAGCTATAAACTGATTCATAGAGCCACTAGAGAAAGTCAGAAAATTAGATAAAAAGGGATTAAATGAGTTACAAGCATTTCAGGACTGAATTATATCATGGACATGACATTCCTCTGCATTTTATTCAGACCATGTAACTTGATTTAGAAAAAAATGGGTGGGAAATTCACACTTTGCAGTCATGTGACTACCATGGATACCTAACGGACAACAAACGCTGACAAATTAGCGACAAATAGTGGCCAGCCAGGGGAATTGCAGCCTTGCAAATTTCCAATACTACAATCAATTAACTATTTAGACCATATTTTACCGAATGTTAAAATTAGATATCAAGAAAAGATTAACATACTCGGAACGTGTGATTGATAAACAGCACCCGCTGATGTTTTCATTGCTTTGAAGCTGGCAAAGTCTCTATCAGACTTGGAGCTTGGAGATATTTACATATATCTTATAGATAATCCGTCGCCTTACACTGTGCAAAATATTAAAGCCTACATAAGTACAGATAGAAAACCTTTTTTTCCAAAAAGTGAACGAATTAACAGCGCTGTCGTATGGGAGGTGAAAAACAGGAATATCTTCATAATTGAAGCAAAGGTCCATTTGCTAATGTTTGCAGCTACACAAAGTAACATCTGTTCCATCGTGTGATGAGGTCTTCATCTGAATATGTACACCCTGTCTGCCGGCGATTGACAGCTTGAATAATAAAAAATAAAAACTTATGCCAACTGTATCATACTAGTAGGATGTCGAGCTGATGGGGCAGCGAAATGCGTATAATCCTGTTAGCAATCTGTTAGGCTGTAATGTAGTATAGCAGGGCTCAACATAAAAAGAAATCCCCACTGGCCCCCGGGGCCAGTAGATCAGAGTTTTGCTGGCCCTTTCTATATTTTGACTGGCCCTGAAAGAAATACAAGGAAAAGCACTTTTCCATTAAACTGTATTTATTGTATACATTAGGATTAATCAAAACAGTGAAGGAAGTTCAGGAATTAAGAGAGAGACCCTGGAGACATGCAAAAAATAACCTAATTTCAGCGTCCAGTAGATTATTTGTCAATACCTGCTCTCTCCTCATCTCGATCACTCTCTCTCTTTTTTCCTCAGTCTCCTCATCTTACTTATTAAAGCTAAAGTATTCATTCAAGAGCAGTGAGTGATTTTCTTTTTGCTTTAGTTGTTTGATTCGCAGTAATGTCGCAATCGTCCGCATATTAGACTGCTTCCCCTTTAAGAACGAGTGCAGATGTAAGTCTACAACTGATGCACCATATTTTCTCCCAACTATTTCCATAACTGCGTCCATTTTAGACACTGTTTAAGTGAATCTCCAAGCCAGTCATTTTGACACATTTTTGTGTACATTTGATCGTTTAGACGCGCACATGAAGCCCAAAGTATATACTTATCTCGTTGCGGTCTGTTTTGGAGCGCGCGCCGCATCGGGAACAGCATCTGTTGCGCTTTTTGTGCTTTTAATAGCTCTTTTTATTATTAAACGCGCCCCGCAATTTAGCAACAAAAGTGACTGCATTTTACAACAATCACCGATCGTGCTGATTCTGTATTAAAGTTTGAGTTAAGGAGAAATGACAGCGTGCTACTGTAGCCTAGGCTATTGCTGTGATGGTAAGGACGTTGCGCTAGATAGAATGCAGTTTTTAATGGTTTTACCTCAAATATATTCTATAATCTTTGGAAGCTGAAATCTAAAATAAAATCATATTATTATATCACAGATCTAAAGTGTAACCATAACTTGAATGTTTCTGTCCTCCGTCAGGTGTTGTGCGCGCTGTGGCACCGCGTGAGATCTCTCTCTCTCTCTCTTCTGGACTGCGCGAATAGCAAAATGCATCACAGACAAATGGTTTAATTTTATTATATATAGGCCTAGACATGGCTGGCGACTCAGCGAGATGGTTAATTTTTTTATAGCAATAATAAATGATAGCCTACATGTATTTCTCCAGTGACAGCAATAGCAATAACGTCCGAGCTTATTGATACAGCGGTCTTTCAAAATTCAGTCCCGTTTAATACCGAGTACCCATCCATCCCTACCAGGTGTACTGTGTTTTCCATGACTCGAATGTCCAGCCTCGTAGTTCTTTGGCATTTTAACATTGACACTCTTCGCGCCACACTGTGTATGACGTTTGCTGTTTGTTTTGCTGATTGCCAGTTACTGGCCCGCGCGGGCAAGTGACTGGCCAATCAACTAGCCCGACATACTCTTTTACTGGCCCCGGGCCATCGGGCCATTGCTTATGTCGAGCCCTGAGTATAGTAATAAGTGTACGGTAGTATGCATGCAAAGTACTGTACGTAATAGGTCATGTAATAAGTAATAAGTAGACGCAGTGCAACAGTAATGTGTCATTCATTCTCCATGTATTCACCTTTTCATATCATATAAAATCAAATCACGTACAGATGACAAAACACCAACTTTTGTAAGTTAAAACTGGCGACGTCCTGGCAAGATCCTTGATTAGTTTACTGGGTTTTGTTGCTACAGAACGACGTTCTTGCCCACCAGCCAGTACTTGTGACGTCACGTGCAACGTATGAATTAAGTGCAATGAGTACTGTTGCTTTAAAGTGCCCCTATTATGCTATTTAAAGGCCCTTCATTTTGTTTTGGAGGTCTCCTAAAACAGGTTTACATGCATCAAAAGTAAAAAAAAACAAACAGTTTCATTATCTCATAAGATACATTGCACATCACCACATTTTTCAATGATTCTGGAAAGACTCGATGGATGAATCAGTCTCTCTAATCCCTCCTTTCTGAGAGCCTACTCTTTTCTGATTGGCCAGATGGCCCAGTCTGTTGTTATTAGTCTACAGCATACAGCGACTGTCGGAATCTACACGTCCATTACCATAACTGAACGTCATCTCTGTCCGGAGGCTTCCTACGGCTCAGTGATTGAACTGTAATGACGATGACAGCAATTTCACAATATCAATCTGAGCGCGAGTCCGATGACGGAACATTGGAAGAACTAATAGTTATTCAACCCGAACCTCCAACGCAAGGAAGACTCAAGCAAGAGTTTCTCAGTGATACACTACTTAGTTTGAGGTACATTATGAGATGTTTCAACTGTAATTCATCACCATCAGCATTAACACGTGTATGTCCATCAACAAACCAATGTGTATATTTAAAATTAATTGCGGTGCACAAGCAGGAACTGTATCAATAACGGTGCCTATGTTCAACCAGCACTAACGTGAATGTCTGATTTAATAAACACTTGTAAAACAAATATTTATCCTTAAGTAATAAGAATGACAGACAATCTGCATTAAAGGTGCCATAGGTGATTCTCTGCAGAAACATCAGTCAAACGTTGCATTCGGTCCGAACGTTCCTGTAGCATGTGTTCCCAGTTAGTCAATGTGTGTTTTCACACCACAGCACAGGTTCTTCATGCAAACAATAATAAGTCTACAGCACGTTCCCGTTCACTGTGCAGACAGAGCGAGAATGTCAGTCAAACAGCAACAACCTAACATTCCTTCTGAACCGACAACAAGTGGCACTGGCAAAGGATCCGCGATCTATATCTTCATCAGAGCCAAGCAGACACTCATCGTGGACACCACTGATGGGCAGTAACGCGTTAGAAGTAACGCGTTATTGTAATACAATTACTTTTTTCTAGTAACGAGTAAAGTAAGGGATTACAATTGAAAAAACAGTAATTAGATTACCGTTACTTCCCCGTAAACAGCCTGCGTTACTGCGTTAGTTAACCGTGATTTTGTTTAGTCAGACTGTCTCGTGACATGAGTCGTGCGTGAATAAAAATTATGTATGAGCGCCGCGACATCAGTGAGAGACGACTAGAGCGCGGGAGAGAGCAGCCGAGCTGCCAACTCTCACACACGCTCACACGACACACCCCCGATTTCTCGCGCTGAAGTGTCAATCCCGTCGGTCAAATGCCTGAAAAGTTTATCTATAAATCTTTATCTATAAAAAGCCACATTTGTGATTTACTAGTTATACCGCAAATTAGTTAAAATCTCCCGGAATCTAGAGCGAGCGCGCATGCGAGACTGTGTTCCAAAGTCCAAACTTCGTATCGCGCGCACGACGAGGAGAGCAAGAGAGAGACTTGCGTACTATGCAGAGAGCATCCTGATCTGGAAACAGGACCCCCATTGGAGAATGTCAAAATTCTACCTCAAATCTGAGCAAGCATGTCACGAAACAGTCTCACACGTAAAACAGCAAGCCGGTACAGGAATGTGAAACTTACTGAAAAAAACCCTCAACCCCCGTCTGTCATGGCCGGTGCGGCTACATGCTGACTGTTAACTCCGAAAGAAAGAAAAAAAAAAACAAAAAACTTGAAGCCAAAATACGGCATGCAACAGCATTTTCTGTTTTGATCAGCTAATTTTTACTCCTCTCTGCACTTTACTGTTAAAAGACGTAAGTGTTAATACATTGTAATATAGTCATGAGCGACTTTCATGATTTTATTGTATTTTTACATCTATTCAAATGAAGGATTTTACAAAATATATTTATTTAATATGCTGGAATATGTAGAAATTTATATTAACAGAAGAGGGGCTGTCTTTTTCATTAAAATGGTGGAATGTGCAGAAAATATAGGTTTAAATGTTCAACAATTTTCTTCTAGTCTGAGACTGTTGCATTTAATTTAATTTTTGCTTGATGCAATGTGCATAAAGTTAAAATATTGAAACAAATAAAACAAGTTTAAAAAAAAGAGAATGTTTAATTTGATTACATTTTACAGTAGATGATGGAATATGCAGAAAGAATAGAATTAGGCTGAAAGGTCTATGCTTTAGCGTATTCAGGTCGTGCATTATGTTTTTGAAAAGTAACTTAGTAAAGTAACTAGTGAAGTAACTAACTACTTTTGAAAATAAGTAATCAGTAAAGTAATTGGATTACTTTCTTGGAGAAGTAATCAGTAATCAGTAACTAATTACTATTTCCAAGTAACTTGACCAACACTG